CCACTCGCACAACCACGAAAGGAATCCTCTGCAGTAGGTTTTCCATAATACGCTGGAAAATCCCAGGGGACGAGGACACTCCATATGGCAATCGATTGTACTGAAAAAGTCCTTTGTGTGTGTTGATGGAAGTATATTTTTTTATTCATCCTCCAATAAGATTTGTTGATAGGCTTGACTCATATCCAGATTGGTGAATTTCTCGCCACCACTTAAAGTGGCAAAAAGATCTTCTGCCTTGAGAATCGGGTAATTGTCTAACTTTGCAGCTTGGTTTACAGTTACTTTATAATCCCCACAAATTCTTATCGACTTATCATCCTTAACGATTGGTACGATTGGGGCTGCCAAATCTGCAAACTGGACAGGCTCTATAGTTCCCTCTTCTTGGAATCTTTCTAACTCCTTTTCTACTTTTTCCCTCAATGCATAGGGAACAGGTCTTGCCTTGTAATACTTTGGACTTGCATCCTCAGCCACATATATTTTGGCTTTGGAACCAGAAAATGTTCCTAACTCTTCATGAAACACTTTCTCATACTTCTCAAGTAACTTATTAACTTTGACTGAGGTATTCTTGTCCTCTTTTAACTGAAATATATTCTTCCAATTTATTTTAATCTTTTGGAGCCAATTTCTGCCAATCAAGTTAGGGCCCTTCCCCGTTATGACTAGTAAAGACCATACGCCTTCTTGATCTTCATACTTCACCGAAGTCTCCAGCTGACCCAAAACGTTAACTTGCTCTCCCGTATAGGTATTTAGTCTTACCTTTGATTCCTTCAGCTCTAGGTTTGGGTGTTTTTTCTTCAATAATGTATATGTATCCTTATTCATTACACTAACTGCAGCACCAGTATCTACTTCCATATTTAGACTTTCATTGCTCACCAGTACATCAACAACATATGGCTCAGCCTGCCCTTTGCCCAGACTGTAAATCCCATAGTTGTCGTCTTCCTCCTCGATCTCGTCATCCTTCATGTTTAAATAGTTGCTGCTAGTGCCCGAGTTAGGGTTGTCGTTTCGTTGATTTTATCCAGTCGTCTTAGTGTTGCTTCGACATTTTCTTGCTATGTGTCCTTTCTTGTGGCACAGGAAACACTCAGCATCGCGAAATTTGCATTGATGCGGGTCATGTTTACCCCCACACCGACCACATTCAGGCTTTGACCATGGTTGGTTTCCTTGTCCTTGGTTGTCCACACGGTGTAATGTTGCAGGTTTCTCAGAATTTATATTTGCATTGGCCATCTGATGTGTCAAATCTCGTGCATTCTTTACTGCAGTCTCCATTGATGTAGCTATTTTCATGGCTTTCTCAAAGTCGAGAGAACTTTCTGCTAACAATCTACGCTGAATCTGTTCGTCATTTATTCCACACACCAACCGATCACGTAACATCTCTTCTAAGGTACTCTTGAAATCACAATGTTCTGAAAGACTTCTTAATTCAGCTACATACGAAGCAATTGACTCACCAGGTTTCCTGAACCGAGTATTAAACTTGAATTGTTGCACTATTGCCGACGGTTTTGGGTGTTGATGTTGTTGTACAAGTTCTACTAGCTCTGCAAACGTCTTCTCTGACGGTTTATTCTGCGTGATTAAGTTCCGAATCAACTTATATTCTTGCTACCACAAACACTCAATAATATCGCTCGTTGTTTATCTTTGTCGTCCACGCCATTTGCTCGGAAATAAAATTGCAACCGCTCAATATACTGACTCCATTCCTCTTGTGAGTCATATTCTTCTAGTTTTCCATGATTTGTCATTTTATCTCGTCGCCAAATGTAGTATTTTAACCTTAAAACCCAACTATGCTAAGTAAAACTCCCTTGTTAATACAGCTGTCTAGTTCTCCTCGAGGTGCCTGTTTTTCCCGCCGGAAGTGCTCCCGGATGTTACATTTTTCTTGGAAAATTATGTCAGATATCATGTTTAGTCATTTGGACATATCGCTTATTCCATTTTTCACTATCCATATTGATTTAAAATCTGTATGAACATTTTTATTCCCAAAATCCATCAAGTACTGGTACTGTACTATTTGGCAGAAATGGACTTTTAACAGTCTACTCTTTAACATCAATTTTAACTGTTGAAAATTAGCCCAAAACTGTTTCTGATCAAACTAATTTATCTTTAAGGATGAGGCCTGGTTATATTAGTTTGCAAAAAGTATAATTTGACTCAAATTTGAGTGGTAGGTCCAAGGTCTTTTTTGACATTTTTAAAATCAACCAAAATATTAAAAAAGTTCATATTAGGCTGTTTTGAAGGATATGTGAATCTAATGTGCACAGCTGAAAAGTGCTGCAGAACTGTTCCTGAACAAACTAAATTGTCTCACATATGAGGGCTGGGGTATGTTAGTTTGCAAAAAAATAAATTGCTTAAAATCTAAGTGCGCGGATGAAGGTCGGTTTTACCATTCAAAAACCTGTCTGCGAATATCCACAATTACTACCAAAATCAACATATTCATGAAAAGGCTTGGCAATCGGGCCAGCCTGGTTAATGTATTTATATGCGAAAATGCTTGTCCTGGTATTAACCGAGATTTAATGTTTTTCAAGTAAGGTATTGTGCAAAACTACACAGTGATATGTCTCTTATCAGGCTAGATGTAGTGCTAAACTTGCAAACCCAGCTTTCATATAGCTTTCATCTGCGGTAGGGCAGATCTCCACTGCCCTTCAATGCATTAATCAGTGTTTAGCATGATACAGTTTATAGGGAAGATTACCCTAGAACAGGTAATTTATAATGCGCAAGTTCTTCTCTCTTCGATGGCGAAAACGTTGGAATGCCCAGGATCGACGTGGGGACATTGCGCGCGTAAAGCGCATGTGATGACCGCTACATTACAGAAACAAGCGCATGTTCGGAACCATTTGCAAACTTCCCCAGTTTCAAACGTTCAAAATTTACTGAAAATTCGTTCATTTGATCCTCCCGCAGCAGCCAATTTTGATTCTTCTGTTGAAGCAATGGAAGGAGCACTGACGTGCGATAAGAGAACCGATGTTCAATTAGTTGAAGTCGGATATATTTTCTGGTTTAAATGAAACATTTTTTCTCCATTATATAAGAATTGAAAATGACGTAAAGTACAGTAGGCACAAGGTTTGTCAGCTGTCAGGATGGCCGAGCGGTCTAAGGCGCCAGATTCATGTTTCGAAACTTGCCCCTCAAATGCGCAGCCAAATGGCGTTCCGGTCCACTAATGTGGGCGTGTGTTCGAATCTCACTCCTGACAGAGAATTTTAAGATTATTTCGTGAGGCCGTTGAATATATTGGTGCAATTCTTAACCCCGAGAATGACTACAAAACAGTCGAAACGTTGATTTAAAAACAAAATCTTGTTCGTTTTCGATCAAACCATTGTTTCCGCCCAGGATCGAACTGGGCACCTTGCGTGTGTTGTGGGCGCACGTGATGACCGCTACACTACGGAAACCTGCATGCAGATAAATTTTCGCCAATGGCTAATTCATGACCAGATGAGAAAATTATACCTAGGAGAAAACTTCGCGATGTATCATGAAAAATCGCTGTGTCGATCTAGTTAATTTTTAAATAATTAAACGCTAATCAGCTAAAAAATTTCTTCGTGGTGTCAGTTTGAAGCAGCACATTGACAGTGAATCTCGCGTCCTCGCCATCACTCAATCTTGAGATCAATCGCGGAAAACAGGTGTCATATTTATTGCTTCGTTAAATATTGGGCGGTAGGGGAGATCACGACGGCCTTTCAATGCATTAATCTGTGCTTAGCTTGAAACAGTATTTAGCGAAGATTACGCTGGAACAGGTAATAAATAATGCGAAAGGTGTTCTCTCTTCGTTGGCGAAAACGTTGGAAATGGAAACAATAGAAATCGAAGGAAAAGTTGATTGTGCAACCCGTATCACACGCCGCAAATTAACGGACTTTAAAAATTGGTTTAGCTTTTCACAATCGATGATGTACGCAAGTTAAAATTAGATAATATACAGCTTGACTTCGCAACACAATTACTGTGTTTCCGCCCAGGCACGAACTGGGGACCTTGCGCGTGTGAAGCGCACGTGATGACCACTATTCTACAGAAGTTGGCTGGCGAAGCACGATTTCAGTCCGTTGCTGAATTTTGCTCTTTTCATTTTCTGTAAACAAAACACCAAATGCATGCTTCTGCCCAGGATCGAACTGGGAACCTTGCGCGCGTAAAGCGCACGTGATCATCGCTACACTACAGAAACAAGCGCATGTCCGAAAATTCGTTCATTTGATCCTCCCGCAGCAGCCTATTTTGATTCTTCTGTTGAAGCAATAGAACGAGCACTGACGTGCGATGAGAGAAACGATGTTCAGTTAATTGCAGTCGGATATATTTTCTGGTTTAAATGAAAGATTTTTCTCCATTATATAACAAAGTAAACTGACGTAATGTACGGTAGGCAGAAGGGTTGTCAGCTGTCAGGATGGCCGTGCGGTCTAAGGCGGAAGACTCAAGTTTCAAAACTTGCTCCGCTAATTTCGAGCCAAAGGGCGTTCTGGTCCACAAATGGTGGCGTGGGTTCAAATCCCACTCCTGACAGAGAATTTTAAAATTATTTCGTGTGGCCGTTGAATATATTGGTGCAATTCTTTATCCCGAGGATTATTACAAACCAATCAAAACGTTGATTTAAAAACAAAATGTTGTTCGTTTTCATCAAAGCATTGTTTCCGCCCAGGATCGAACTGGGGACCTTGCGCGTGTTAAGCGCACGTGATCACCGCTACACTACGGAAACTTGCATGCCGATAAATGTTCGCCAATGGCTAATTCATTACCAGATGAGAGAGTTTTACCTAGGGGAAAACTTCTCCATGTTTCTTGGAAAATCGCTGTGCCGATCTTTATAATTTTTAAATAATTAAATGCTCATCAGCTAAAAATTTGTTCGTGCTGTCAGTTTGAAGCAGCACATTGACAGTGAATCTCGCGTTCTCCCCATCACTCAATCTTGAGATCAATCCCGGGAAACAGGTGTCATATTTATTGCTTCGTTAAATGTTGGGCGGTAGGGCAGATCTCGACTGTCCTTCAATGCATTAATCTGTGCTTAGCTTGAAACAGTATTTAGCGAAGATTACGCTAGAACAGGTGATAAATAATGCGCAAGGTGTTCTCTCTTCGTTGGCAAAAACGTTGGAAATGGAAACAATAGAAGGAAAAGTTGATTCTGCAATCCGTATCGCGCGTCACAAATTAACGGTCTTTAAAAATTGGTGTAGCTTTTCACAATCAATCGTGTACGCAAGTTAAAATTAGATAATAAACAGCCTGACTTCGCAACACATTTACTGTGTTTCCGCCCAGGCACGAACAGGCACAGGCACGAACAATATATCATTTATTGACAATAGTAACATTGATCAGTCCATGTTAAACAGATCAAATCTTCACCTAAACTATACAGGTGGTAAAGCATTTGGAAAAACTTTGTGTGCATACTTGAGATCAATAAGAACTGGAAAGACCACCTATGATAGTAGTAAGTTTTTTCGACAAGGCAGGCGGCAATCGAGTCGCCCAAAGGACTGGACAACATGCCTAACGTATCTAGCACACGTTGCAAAAATGATACAACAGTAGAAAGTAATCCATTATTACATAATAAAATAGAACATAGTCAAATACATAATGAAACAGAAATGGGTAGCGATTTTTGGGATGATATTAATTGTCTTCCCAATCAGCGTGGATTTAAAATGGCTTTTTTAAATATAGTAAGCTTGCCAAAAAGATTTGATGAAATTAACTTAACTATGTCAAACAAATTACTCGATATTATAGTGAGACCAGACTTAATTCAACCATAACTGATGGTATGATTCATATAGATGGGTATGACATTATAAGAAAAGATAGGTCTAGAAATGGTGGTGGTGTTTGCATTTATCTACGTAATTCTATAAACTATCAAATCAGACAAGATCTTATACCAGCCGATCTAGAAGCTATATGCATAGAGATAACTAAACCGCATAGCAGACCATTTGTGGTTGTTACGGTTTATAGACCCCCAGATGCTTCATCGAATTTTTTTATCCATCTTGAAAACCTTTTAAAAAAGATTGATAATGAAAACAAGGAAATCTATATACTGGGTGATCTTAACTGCGACCTTTTTAAGTCTATTCCTGACCATCCAACTAAGACACTTAAATCTTTACTCGAAATTTATCAATTATCCCAGATAATTGATAAAGCCACATGGATCACTAGGACATCCTCCACACTTATTGATCATTTTATTACCAATGAACCAGGAAAAATATCCAAATGTGGTGTAATACATACTGGAATTAGTGACCACAGTCTCATTTATGGCATAAGAAAGATTAACATTCGACACAAAGATAATGATAACATAATTGAAATTAGAAATATGAAAAAATTCAATGAACAGCAGTTTTTACAAGACCTAGGAACTCAAACATGGGAACATGTCTATTTTTTTGCAGACAATCCTGACACTATGTGGAAAATTTGGAAACAACTTTTCTTACAAGTCCTAGATAAACATGCC